ACCTAAGCAAAGGTTTCACAATAAATCTCCTGGATCTGTGAATGAACGGTGCTCTGAAAACTAAATGTCTCTGTGTTGACTCTTACCTTCTGAACATAGATCTCAATGTATTTCTGCAGGTTGTTGCGGTACAGGTAGAGGACCAGGTCGTGGACAAAGTCGAAACGGTCACAGACGATGATGAGTGGGAGCTGGTCGGTTAGTTTGGCTTCCTGTGCATCACAGAGTAATGGGAAGAGAGTGTAGTCAGTGAATCTGTACACAGTCGAATGTTTAGATTGGTTTGGTTTCTGCCCTCTATAATTATGATCACTAAAAGTGAAACTGTTATTTAAAAGTATCAGGACAGTTAAAAAACCACATCGAAACTAAATCAAGCGTCTTTGTTAGCTAGGGAGGCTAGCTGTGTTTCGCACTAAAGAACAATAAACTTCCTTCATACTAATAAGCAGAGATGCCAGTTCTCACTAAGCAGTACTGAAACACTGCTGCCATCCACAGGATTTAAAAAACAAAACTGGGATTGTGCATCTTGACACGACTATCCAACAACATGCTGCACTGGGAAAAAAGCTCCTTACAAGATGACACACAACACAAACTGTGTTTAAATGTGAAGTAAAGGAGCCTAACACGGTCACTGTTACCTGCACACACGGGAGCCAATGAATGACTACGACTATGTAAAGTTAATAGATCACTGGCTATACATAGATACACCCCAGTAGGTGTATGGACTGTGGTGTATAAACATATACGCCTCCATACAAATCCCAGTTTCAATCATGTGTCTGAAAATAATGGGAAAGGGGTGAAAGAAAAGCAGGGAATGAATCCTGCACTGTGGGGAGGAATAGATTTACCTGATACATGTCCTGCCATTCCAAAGAAAAGAGGAAAAGGACAAAAGATAATTGACTGCCATCAGCACTGCTGGGTGAACAATTTGCAACAAATACAGGTAAACTGTCAATGTGTGCAGCTCGGCTTTTCTATCAAATATAAAGACAGACTAAGCACTGTAAGCAACGTCTGATTGTAAAATAGAGATTTCAGGAGAGTTTAAACTTTTGATCAACCCAACATTAAATTCATAAAACTACTGATGAAGTTCTGACAGCGTTACAGTTTACAAACAAGCACCAGTAGGAACCAACTGAGAAATAACGGGCGAGGGTCAAAGAATAACAAAAATTAAAAAAGAGTCAAAGTCATAAAAGCTGCTTGTGTCAGTGTTCGATGGCTCCAGTCATCCCTGTCACTACCTTGAGGAAGTTCTTGACACGCTCAGGATCGTAGCAGTTGCTCTCTCTGCAGATCCTTTCCACCTCTTTGATCTGGCCCGTCTTGCAGGCAGCTTGGATGTATTTGAAGTGAACTTCAGGATCCTGACTGAAGTTTACAATAGAGCCCAGGAAATAGAACAAACCTGAGGGGAACACAGTTAAAATTAAGCTTCAAATGGGATCCATGTGGATAGGGACATTCCTGACATTAAAATATTGTTCTTCCCCAATCAGTTTACCGCACCTTTCTGCTCTATTACTCCAGTCACTACAGATGAGCTGCACTAGTTCACCTCCAGAGCATCCTGCCTCTGTTCTGGCCTACGTATCTGACTGATAGCTGAGCAACATCTATCCGAGTACAGGGTTAGGAGGTGATAGCAACAGTAACGAAACAGAGACGAGCCAAATGCTTTTCCAGCAGCTCGTCTTATTACAGAAATATTTCAGTCAAACTGATGCAGTTCTATAAAACAAATCACGACTATTTCAATGACTTTTCAATACTTCCTCATTAACTGAACTGGGTTTTCCATCAGTTTCATTACAGCCCTTTTCTATTAGTATCTACTCAGGTCGACTCGTCTTCCCTGATAATCGAGTACCATCTAAAATGCTTGTCCCTCATTACTGGGTTTCAAAAATGGCAATTTTGATTTTGGTGAAGGAGATTCTTTCATGACTCATTGTGTAATGCCACTGACTAGCCAAGCAGTGGCATGTAGTCTGCTGACGTCACACATTCAGATTGCTTGGAACCCCGGTCGAGTAGGTATTAAAGAAGTAGCAGGTACTACCATCTAATGGAAAACCCTAAAAACCATGTTGAGCAGTAGGTACAAGTGAG